CAAAAGTCTCAATAGATCTATGTGCAATCACATCAAGATATATATTAAAGTTGCCTTTAATGAATATAGGTGAAAAAAGCTGCAAATGTATTTTTTTAATAATTATTATCTATAAGAAGCCTAGCCTTTCACACAAAATTAATCTAAATTTTCATTCTCTGCCAAATTTACCAGTCATTCGAAGATCCTCGATCTTCGAATGATATCTTTCAGTGATTCAATGATACACTGAAGACGTTGACGAAATTTCCATTGAAGGTTGTCAAGCTCATAAGAATTCTGTGAAAGAAACCATGAACTTTAGTTAATTTTATCAAAGAAGAATATCGGATTGGTGACTATTAAGTACTTCGATCAATGTGTAAGTCATCTATCATATCATATATATTTTTTGCAATTTTTGGATCAAATGATAACATCAATGGTACTTTGAGATCTTGATTCCCAAGCCTAAAAAATGAAACTTGATAGTCAATTTATCAAAGATCAATGGTACTTTGAGATTCTGATTCTCAAGTCTAAAAAATAAAAGTTGATATTCAAGTGTTCAAAGAATTACAGGAATCATTTGTTACAAAGAATTCTTGTAATTTGGCACGTTCAACATAGTAATATTAGTATTATTTAATCAGCCATGAAATATAATCAATCCCGCAAAGAATTTCAATTTTTTTTAATTGTTTTTGTAAGAAGAAATTCATATTTAATGACATTATGATAAATTTTACTCTATATATATATATATCAAATTTTTTCTAAATGATAAATGATATGATTCTGTTAAAAATTTACAGTTTCAGTTGAAAATCATATTAATTTTTTCTGAAGTTTGTCATTATTTGAAATAAAGTAACTCTAAACTTCAAAAAATATATGTAAATATTTTCATATGTCAAATTATTCAAAATATATGTCTGAATATTTGGATTACTTTGGAAATTTTGTCTTTGATCTAAAAAATATTCTTATTATAATATATATCATTCTTATTTTGAGATCAATATTAATTTAAGGTTAAAGCTTTATCATTAGCAAAAGATGAGAATAATCATAAATTTTGATCAATTAATTGAACAATCAATATGTTTCATCTTAGTATACATCAGATTTTGCTAATCAATCTTTAATGTTATTAATATACTCAAAAAAACTCTTTCAATGATATTCATTAAAAACTTATTAATAATCAGTATATCAAAAATGTATAACAATTCCAAAAAAGAGCACTGGTAGCTTTATAGTTTCATTCCATTTACAAGAAAATAAATTTATTATCCATCTGAAAATATTAAATTTTGACTTTAAATTTTTTATAAAAAAAATATTCACACATGATAAAGAAATTTCAATTGAAAGGAATTTGACAGAGGATAGAATATATGCATACAACGTTAATTACAGGTTAAAGAATTATTGTTTCTATGTGTTACATGTCAATTATTTTCAAACAAGTTAAAATTGAGGCAAAATCATAAAATAGATTATTTTATCCTCATGGATTAATCAATCTATGAAGTTGATTATTATAACAAAAATTTAAGTCATTTGATTTATTATGAGTCAAATGATGAACAATTTTCATGTGTGAATTTTGTATGTTTTGTTTGATAATTTTCACATTTGAGTGTTGGATCAAGTTCAGTAGATTATCATTCAAAAGAACTTTCAATTACGTTAATTATAACAATATATCAAGAAAAAAATTTCTGTTTATACAAAATTTTATCATCAAAACAATGGGAACCTCAGGTATTGTGATATCTCCAATATCTTTCTGTGTGTTTTGAATTTATGTGAATTACAACGCACTATGTGTTGATAAAAGAATTTTGATTATTCAAATGACATTGATTGATTAAAACGAATCATTATTTTTTTATAATATTTTTTTATAATATTTGAAAAATAAATCAAAATTTTTAATTTATTTTTAAATCAATACATCATATTCTTAAGTTTTTATAGTCGCAAAGCAATGTGATTTTATAAGATATATGCAATTGGGTTCCGTTGATAGATATATATTTTAATAAAAAATGTGAATAAGAAAGAAAAATCGTTAATTTTTTTATAATACATCAATATAAATTTTTTACTTAAGTCATATGGTTGATCTTGATCTTTGGAAAATTTTAGATATTTGCTCATTTACATTTAAAATAAATCATATTGCAGATACAAAAATCTGCACACAAAACTTATATATATATTGAAATTCATTCTCATAAAAGATTCCAGAAACTAATCATTCAAATAAAATTGAAGTTAAATTATAATGATGTAACGTTCACTATCTCTTTAATGAAAATTGAATTTTTTTTGACTAAATACAGATAATTGATATTTATATAAGTGTGTAGAATACTGTTCGCTTGATCTTAACAGTCGACTTTGATATATTTCAAAATTTAAAAGTTTTCAAGTGAAAATTACTTTCAATATATGCAAAAGACATGCAAGAATAGTTCGGTGGTTCATTCTCGGGTGAATTATGTTTATCATCTATAAAAATTCAAAATTGGCTTTTCTCTGCGCGTGTGTTATATGATCAATACACTTTGGCTTTGACTGGTTTGTGCGGTATTCGTAAACATTTGTAGTCCAAGTAGGTGACTAGACTATGCACAGGGCTGTTAAGCAGAGCTGAAATTAGCTTATGGTGAGATAAGCAGTTTGAAGTTTTTTATTTTTGATTATTTCGTCTTAGCTGAGGGGAGTGTACTAACATGTCTCATGACATTAACAAAAATTATGATTGTAAATAAAATATAATGTAAAGAGGAAGAGAGTGATGGTTGGAACGATATCAGAGTTTTCTACAATGGGCAGGACGATTTGCGTGTTTCAGCGACAAAGATAAAACCAAATGCAGGCCTAGGGTTATGTTGCCGATGTGACTAGTCGAGGAAACATGACGTTGGTGGACGTGTCTGCAGGTGGAGTACAAGAGTACGGATATTTTGCTGTATACTATTTCTTTAGGAGTATGATCTTGAAACTAACGGGATGTTGTAGTTTGACGGTGTGCACGTGAGACCAAGTTCCAGATTTCGTGTAAGAAAGAGGCTATGAGGTGTAAGAGTGCTGCTTTGGTTCTAGGGGTCGTCGTGTATATAACAAATTGCCCTCCTGTTTCTCAAATGAGTAGAGAACACCCACAAAAGCTTCGGACATGTGCTAGAGGTTTGTGGGTGGTGTCACAAACACGTTGACTGAGTATGGGTTTTGGTAGGATGAGGATGGTCAAGGTGTTTGGATGTTGTAATGCCGCGAAAGACGAGCCCATGAAGGAGAGTCTGGAATATGAAAGTGTGGTTGAAGGGGAAGGTGAACATGTGCCCTGCCATAAGAACATTCTCACATGGATGCCATCAGCTCTTCTTAATCACAGCGGAACGCAAGTCACTACGAAAATACAGCGCGCATGCAACATGGAGTCTGAGAACCATGACCCCACTTCAACGCGTTTCCTATAGCCTGTTCCGCACTGGACGACCTCTTCAAACGGACCATCTTCCCTCGAAGATCCTCCGCAAACATTAAAATCATATCCACCATTGCTGTCCGAGTCAAATAGTTATATAATATCGAGAATCTATCCTTTCTTTCGTCGCTTCCATAAGTTGGTCAAAATATCTCGTACACCATAAGATTGCAGCGCATATGATAGAATTCAGTCAAGAAAGATGCGGACACGCATGAACTGCGTTTTGACAAAACCTCCTTTGTTGACCACACATTTACGAACAGCTGTGCTCAATCGCATGAGAACAGAAGTCAAGTCGAGAATACAGCACACTCGCATAGGGAAAAGCGCGGGATTTCTGTCTTATGATCTCATTTCCACCTGCTCGGTTTCTTTCCCTCGCAATGGATGACTTCATCAAAGTCCAAAAGAACTCAGCTCACTGAACTCCTGGAAATCCACCTCACACAAAAGCAGCGCGATGCAAGCAGCCATCGAGAGACAACACAAACACCTGTACGGGTCGCAGTAGGCCCCGAATGGAACCCACTTGCCTTAACCGGGTGGTAGCCGGTCGTCCAAAGCGGGTCAAACCTGCTAGGAGACGAAATTCCCGCAGGGACGTCAACAGAGGCGTTGGCTTGGGACCTACTCCGTGTAACTCCGTAACATCGAGCCACAGACCTCCGGCTCCGGCGCGTCCATTCTGCGGCCGGAACTTCGAGATTGCCACAGTGGCCCGGACTCCGAGCATGCGTACGGCCCTGGTAGGCGGAGGCGGGACGGGGCCCGGACCGCACCGAGGTCCGACCTGTCGGAAGGTCCGGATCCTGCGACTTCGGGGCGGGCGGACGGGCGGATCGGGCGGGCGACACTAGAAAGACCGAGGACACTAAACTCAACCCACCGCCCCGACGGACGGTCAGGCAGACTTCAGAGAGGCCGACGTCCGCGCAACGCCCGTCAGTGGAAGAGTCGACGGAAGGGGACAAAGGCAGAATACGTCCGGCTGGCAGTGGCGGGGTGGAATCCTATCTGTTTCTACAATTTCGATGTTCAGACACCGGAACCCGCGGGCTCGAGGCGTGGACCAGGGTCATATCCGGATGCCGGACTGAAGAAAATTTACCACTAATCAGAACCAACCAGCTCAACGTGCCTCGGATCATCGTCGACTGGCGACTCTGCAGCTATTCAGCCCACGGTGGGTAGCGGCGAGCTGCTTGCCGCGCAGACCCCAAATACAGAGAGATTCACTAGGATATGGCCGCATTTGGGTGAGCTTGTTGAGCTTGTTTTCTAGCTCCGTTGGGTATGTCCATCGCTGGACCGTGAGAGACTTGGGGCTGATCTCGCGCCCGTCGCTGTGGTTGCAGTAGCTTCTTGCGAAAGCAGAGCCAAAATCAGAGCTCCATCTGCAGAATTCGTTGTTGGTTCAAGTTGAAGATAGAGTGGCAGCCTGCCTGTCTGATTTGGGGGAGGGGGGTCGGTGGTGGTGGAGTAGAAGGAGGTAGTGGCTTCGCACAGTGAGTTCAGTTCAGTTCAGTGGGTTGAGTGAGAGACAGGATTCCGTCTTGAGAGAGTGCTGCAGCTTTGCTTGCCTCGCCTCGCCTCAGCTCAGCTCCTCTGAGGGCTTCCATCATTCCTTCCATCTTCCTAAAGCCTGAGCGAGCTCCAGCTCAGAAGATACAACGTCAGTACAAGCAGCGAGTGTCTCCTGCTGCCGTAGCTGCAGCTGAGGATTGTGCTTCGGATGCGCGGAGGCTGTCTGCCTTTGCCGCCCGCACCCGCTCACATACATATGCTTCTCTTATGCTCGGAAGCAGCACTGACATGATTGAGCGCTCGACAACACCTTGGAAACGTGGGACATCGCCACGCTTCATCCGCATTGCGTAAGTTTACACGCAGGGAGAAGGTCAGAACGTACAGCTGCAAAGCATCCTGAGACTCACTGGCCGTGGACATGAAGAGGTAGCAAGCGAGCGCCTCGGAACGCATTCAGCGCAGCTAGGCAGGCACGCAGGCTCTCAGGCAGGCGGGCGGGCTGACACACGAACAGATGTGTGCAGATAGATAGCGGTGGGGAAGGCTCACAGGACGAGACATGTAAGCCGAGCGGTGAAGGAAGGCAATCGCGGTGGGGTGGGAGGTGGCTAGCCAGGCCAGGAGATGTAAATAGCACGGAGGGGTGCGCTGTCGCCGAGAGTTGGGGACCCACTGACAGTTCTGACTCGGATGAGGCAGAAGGATTCAATGCCCATGAAGAGTTGCGCTTGAGAGGTACCGCTGATCGTTCGGCCTCTGCGCTCGTGAATCTCCCGTCAGAACGAGGAGCTCCGTTCTCCAGCTCCTTTCTTCGCTGCGCTTCGCTGCATTCGAAATGGAAGTGTTCGGAGTCAAAAAGCTCAAGGGAGCCCCGCCATTATCGTGGACGCACGCCAAGTCCACCCTGGGCTCGTTCCGAAACAAGCAGAGTCAGAAGAATCTGAAGCTCACTCTCATCTGCTTGTTCCTCACCATTCTGATTCTTCGGGGCACGATAGGAGTAGGCAGCTTCAGCTTTTTCACCACGTCCGATCCTGCGCCCGAAGGCTCGGTTTCGGCGTCAGCTGTTGGCCATTTTTCGGAGGTGCATCGCGGCTCGAAGCTCTCTCTGGACAAGGATGAGGCCCCGTATCGCTTGGGGCCCAGAATCACCGATTGGGATGAACAGCGCGCGGCTTGGCTGGCAGAAAATCCGCACATGCGGACCACTCCCAAGGGCAGGCCTCGCATGCTGCTGATCACTGGGTCGCAGGCGAACAGCTGCAAGGGGCCGTCTGGGGATCACTTCCTTCTGAAATCCATTAAGAACAAGATCGATTACTGCAGGCTGCACGACGTGGACATCTACTATAACATGGTGCTCATGCAGCCGGAGATGGACGATGTTTGGATCAAGTTGCCTCTGGTGCGCAAGATGATGCTCGCGCATCCGGAGGCCGAGTGGATTTGGTGGATGGACAGCGACGCCATGTTCACCGACATGACATTCGAATTCCCCATCGAGAAGTACGAGAAGCACAACATGGTGATCCACGGCTGGGAGGCGAAGGTGTTCGAGGAGAAGGATTGGTGCGGGCTGAATGCCGGGGTGTTTCTCGTGCGCAACAATCAGTGGACGCTGGATTTCCTCGACCTGTGGGCGCCCATGGGCGAGAACAGGGGCAACATCCGGGACCAGGTGGGCAAGATGTTCACGGCCGCGCTCCAAGGAAGGCCGGCGAATTTCGAGGCCGATGATCAGTCGGGGCTCGTGTACCTGCTCAACACCTTGAGGGAGGAGATCGCCCCCAAGGTCTACCTCGAGAGCTCGTACTACCTTCATGGCTACTGGGTCATTCTGTCGGAGAAGTACGAGGAGTTCATGCGCAACAATAAGCCCGGAACAGGAGACCACCGATGGCCGTTCGTGACGCATTTCGTCGGCTGTAAATCTTGCAGCGGCGCTTACGGAGATTATCCCGCCGAGCGCTGTCTGACACAGATGGAGAGAGCTTTCAATTTTGCCGACAATCAAGTTCTGGAAGCTTACGGATTCCAACACAAAACTCTCACCGATTCAGCGGTGCTGAGGACCAGAAACGAAACCACGCGCCCGATCGACGTTCTAAGAAATGTCGGCCACGACACAACCTCCAGATCTTCCGCCGAGGAAGCTTAGGGCTATATAGGTTTGAGATTCCGAGCTAGTCGACTCGCTAATGCTTTCGGCAGTTTGGATTCTGAAGTGTACATTATGAGAATATTGAATTTGACTTTTGTACTTTGTAGGATTTTGAGCAAATCCATTCATTCAAGTCTCTACATGGGAAAGTTCATGACAAGTTGTTCCACATTTGAGTGTCCCTTCGTTCTGGGTGTTAAGTACCGAGTGCACTGTCCTCACCTTCGTCCACTGCGGACGGGGCTCTCATTTATAGTGCAACTGCAAAATCTCTGATTTGAAGGGAATGGAATTGTTCGCGAGCATCTTTGATGCTTGTAGCTGAACAGCAGCAACGATGTAATCACCATCGGTGATTTCACGTCGTAGAGAGAGTACTGCACGCTCTTGCAGCATTGAGCACACAGAGGTACAGACATTTGAACACGAAAGCACACAATCACATAGCACCGACGTCCAAGGTGGACACGAATGATTGCCGGGTCTATTGGAATTGAAGTCCGGCAATCATTCTTCAACATGTATATTCGATTCATATATCGAGTATAACGTAATGCCGAGCTTACGTCCCGTCTGCACAAGCGATCATTCCATTTTCAACGACGGCAGCGGGGAGGAGTTGTCGTAGGTTGTGTGCGGCAGGCTTGGGTTGCAATAACAATGGGAATGTTCCCCCCAGGTTCAGGAAAAGCTGTGGCCCCTTGAACGAAGCCGGTGGGTATGCTGAGGCTTCCGACTGTCACATGGGCTCTCGAGTATGCGGGGGGCCAAAAGTAGCCACATTCTATTCTAGCACAGGTGATACCCACCGGCGAAAACTTTTTATGTCACATCCAGCACACTTGCCGTCGTACAAGATCAATCAATGTCGAGGAAAAGTTTCTAGTTCCCCATCTTCTTACGCGGCGCCGGGAAAGATTAAAGAAAGAGAAAGAGAGGAGCATGATCATGTCCTGTCAGAAGATAGAACTCACAGCGAGGCGACTGCTACGGAAATGGTAACAAGGCCACAGGCCATCGCTCTGTGCTTCGTGAGGTAAAACAGGAGGGGAAGGAATAGAAGAGATATGTGAAGGAAAGGAGAGCGCTTGTCGAAAGGCGAGAAAATGATCACAAGAATGGGTTTTAAGCGTTGGCATTGTCTGTCTGGGTAGCCACATAGAGAGAGGGAGAGAGAGAGAGGCCGCCACCGACCCACTCACCCACCGGTTATGAGTAGGTTTCTCAAACTGGCCATAGCATGGCAGTCGAGTCGGTTTCCCGCATGTCAAAAGCTAATGCCGAGCAGAGGAAAGCAAAGCCACTCTCTTCCATGAGTTTGGCCACTAGTCGGTCGCGGTTTCCAGTCTGTGGTACACGAGTACCGTGTACAACCTTCGACTTGGCCCACAGATTTCTCCTTCTCCTGTCCTCCGCTTGAGTTCTCTCGCGCTCTCTCTTTCTCCATATTTCTTTCGGTGTCCCTTCCCTTGCTCTCAGAGTCAGACCCTTGTCATTTATACGGCCTGCTCAAGTTTGGCCCTTGGGTCCCTACATGCAGCCGAGCTTTCAGGGTTCTCATAGCCAACTGACCCCCGCTCCGGCTGTCTGTTCTTTCTAGGGCCGTTCCCTATCCGGTTTTTTGAGGCCCCGCCAGACGACGAAGAAGAAGAAATAGAAGAGTTTGAGGGCCCCATGCGCAGCAAACGAGCACGCGGGAACCGTGCGACCTCGCCTCACCATAGGCTGGTGTCAACCTAAGATACTTACATTTTTTCCCATTAACAGATACTGAAAGATAATAAGACTCAAGCACGCAAGGAAGCAGGAACGAATGAAAGGAGGGAGGGCATTGCAAGTAGCCACGAGAATGCATGGGATATATGCAGGTGGTTGACATATCATAGACCTTGGGACGTAGAACATTCGGTCGCAATACCTCCTCGTTCGGAAGAATGCTTTTGACGTGTCCCAGATGAGACAGTTGGTGCGAGAGAGACCAAAGAGAAGAGGGAACGAACTCATATAAGACGAGCCGTACGCAGCAGCGCGAATCGCTATGAGCATAGGGACCGCGTTCTTCTGTGTCTGTCTCAATTGGATTGCAATTTCCAGCAGATCCCAACGAAATCTTCCGATTCGACATCTCTAATCACCACTGCCGTACTTACATCCTTGCCCAGTTTTACTCGAGTGTTCGGGCTTGCCCAGCCTCTCCTAGCCTAGTCTAGGCTACACTGATTTGATTGTTCCGAGTTGAGGCGGATCTGGAAAACGATGGTATTTGTGCAAACACGGAAGCTCAACTTCGGTACTTGACACAGATCATTAGACTCAAAACGCATGGAATATGAGCTGAGTGGGCTCTCCATGTGACGACCACGCTACCGCAGTGAGGGAAGCGGCAGCAGCATTATTAGGATTATTAGTAGGAGCCGTAGTAGTAGTCTGAGACAGGTGTGGAAGCGAAGCAGATTGCTGCGTGCGTGTGTGTTTGGGTATGATATATTCGCCAGACTAAGTACAGAAAGCTGACGGGAGAGCGTGAGGAGACTGACGCTGTAAGTGACATGGCGGTGGACAGTTGATGAGTCGTGGCATTTGCAGACTGAAGGCGTGCTGCAGTCTACCTCTGCAGCGCTCTTGTGAATGGATGTAACCCGGAGAGTGAGCTCAGATTCCAGATCTATCAGGATCGACGACCGTCACCTCCTGCTCTGAATTCTAACGAGTTGTGGTACCCAGCGCAGTACCCATGTACCCTGCCTGCATGCCTCATGGCCGTGACCCTTGGGCCCTCTGCTGAGCCCCTTGCATTCGCGATCGCCATCCTGCCTCCGTCATAACTGTGCACAAACTGTAGGGGATTTATCCACGTTGTTCTCCTCCTTCTGCTTATGAAGAGCACGTAAAAGATCTCGGCATAACGGCAGCATTCAACATCAGTCCCCTCTGGTTGGGGCCTTGACCCAAGCTACCACCGGAGTCCCGACTCTCTAACCCGACAGCAACGCTGGTCGACAAAGATCCATTGAACATTGTCCGGTGCCTGACCTAGAGCGCTCCCCCCCATAGCTGCGCAGGGCAGATTCGTCGTGGACAAGGACCCACAGCAGCGGAACAGCGAACTCCGTCCAGTCACCCACTACGATACAAGGACCTCCTTCAGACCCTCATTCCCTCGTCGAGAGCCTTCACGAGCCGGGCTGGGCTGCTCTTAACGGCCTTTGTCCATAGCCTGGCAACGTTGAGCAGTGAGTGCCGAGGCAAGCCAACCAGGTCGAGGGAAGGGACAACGGGCAACGGGGCAGCCAAGCAGCCGCGAAAGGAAGGAAACGAGAGGAACGGAAGAGACATGGAGGCCATTGGAGGCAGTTGCTTTTGCTGCCGTGAATGCCGCCGACGGTGCAAGTGTCGAGTGCCTTTGTGGGCCTGTCAGCCCGAACGCCCTGCCGCATTGTAGATCAGCACCGGCTGACACATATGTCGAGGCTTCAGAATAGTAAGGCTCCTCACCACAGCCCTGACCCACCAATGTCCGCCATCCAACAGCTGGTTTTACTCTTTCCTCATTTGAGTATTCCGCCCCGGGAACGACCGGTGCTTATTTCGTGAACTTATAATAATCCGAAGCAATTTTTCTCTATAATAAATAGCACATTACTATTCCGGGTGATCTGTTCATTTCTTATGAATCTATTGTACACATATGAGTCACCTTTAGATAACTCTTCATGTAGTGTACAAAATTTTTAAAAAAAATAACAAAATATTTTTCAGGAGATTTGCGACAAACTTTCAAGAGTGTAAACTAGTGGAGAGTTTTTCCTTGGCTAATTTGTAGTTTTACATTGGAAGTGGCAAAAAAATTCCAATATGAGATCATGTGATTTCTTGTCTAAACAGTTTATACCATGTTCATGTAGTACGGAGTTCATTATAATTTTTCTAACATAAGTATGTACCACAATCTCTTTTCTTATGAATCTCAAAAATAGATGTCTTCTTTAGCCATTGACGACAACAAAAATCAAATCCATAGTAATTTACCTTTGATTCAAATGTCTATTCAAAATTTAGAAAAGCAAAGTAATTACGTTTACAATTAATTAAAAAAAAACACTTGTAAAAATTCATTCATTATAAAAAAAGATAAAAATCAAATCATACTAAAAATATTGAAAATTTATTTAAATGAAAATTATAAAACTTTTATATATTGAATATAGATATAATTTATATTATAATTTATAACTAAAAAATGACATAAAATATATAAATTTTTCATTTAGAGTAATATTAGATCTAGTGCATATAATCAAATATATGAAGTTGCACAATGTCTTGTCCAGTAAATTAAATGTAAAAAATTATTTGATGATATCCCTACATAACAAAAATGATTTATTTGGATCCAACACGTATCGTTTTATCCGATAGAACTTCACAAACGGTACACCTTCATCTATGTGCTAATATCTAATGTCACAATTGATTTTTAATATAAATACGTTTTTCGAGATATGAAATAGAAAAAAGAAAGTGCTTGAATAGAGGAGCTAATGTCTCCATTGGAAATTTTAACATGAATATCTTTATTCATAAATGATCACACTTGCACAATATATATTTTGTTGAGAAGATGTAGCAATGTTTGAATAGATGTCTAAAGAGAATGATCGCATCCTAGATTTTTGATTATAGTAGAACTTCCGCTATCAATAGCTAATAACCTCCAGTACCGAATGAAAATCTTTAGGTACCGACCTTGGATATATGCAGTTTAGGGTGTATATATGTGCTCAGGTATGCTTAAAGCATTACATTTGCTAGGTAATAACCTCTTATACTAAATATCTACTGTGCGGTCTCAATGGTATTCGCTATTGGAGGTTCTACTTTAATAATTTGTCTTAACTAATCAAGATAAATTAAATTAAATTTGTGAAATAAGTTCCGCAATTATTAACTGGAAAATTGGACAAGATCATTCGCATCATCGAGTTAAAGCTAATAATTTAAAAAATTACTAAATAGAAATTATATATATTTACAATTAACAAGATAATGGTAGTGAAATGGTTCCAAAAACTTGCGCAATTGACCCAGGATAGTATTATTGAAGCCAACAAAGTAGTGATCAATT